GAGTATCTCCGCCTGTCACGTGGAAGGCCCGGGTTCGATTCCCGGTCGAGGAGTCGGCTTTTACTTCACACACACAACACACACACACACACACAAACAAACAAACTCGTCACCGTCTCACTCATCGTTGTCCACTCCTAGTCCACTGCATTGTATCCACTACACTACAAACGAGTGTCGTGTCAATTACGTTCGACGCACCAACATCTCCTACCTCTCATCACTGTCCCATCGGTAACCGGAACCATTCGCTCACCAATCCACTACTTCCAAACACTACTGACACACTCACAATTCACACATTTGCACGACATGCACCATTCGGAATCGCAACAGGCTTTCAGTTAGGCGGATGGACAAGATCAAAATACACTGGATCATCTGACTGATCGACTTACTGAATGATTGACTCTGAACACATCCACACACAGATCACGTCACCTACATTCGAGTTGAAACGTGCAAGTTGTCTGTTACAACGAATGTGTGATTTCAAGAGAGTGAACGATCACTGACAAATGGGTGAGTGGATGCAATGATGAGTAAGCATTGACCAGTAGACAAATACCAAGCTTTCCAGTGTAAGATGGAGGTTGGAAAGTGCGATGTGACAGTGTGTGGGCATGTGGATGTGGTTCTGTGTGAGCGTGCTCCGTGATGTGTAGTATTGGTGGAGTGGACTGACAGGATGTATGATTGTGTGTTGAAGTGACTGTGTTTGTGTAAGTTCGGTTGAGTCCGATGTACACTATGTGTACACACAGTGTACGTTAGGAGACAGTGTGTGGTGACTGTGTAGGATGTTATGGTGTTGTGGTGTGACGAGCTGCTAAAAGCTGTTGCCCCCAGGGAGGATCGAACTCCCGACCCCTGGTTTACAAGACCAGTGCTCTGACCACTGAGCTATGGAGGCCGACGATACTCCTGCACAACACTACATCCAACATTCACTCACTCTTACAATCCACAGTCCTACATCTCGTCCACTCACTGAATCACACATCAATTTCGCCACAGTCTCAAACACTCTACAAACACACAAGTGTCCTCAGTCAGCAACACAGTCAATCGATCACATTATCACCATAGTTTGCAATCAATAATTTATTCAACCAGTCAATCAATCGACCAATGTAGCTTTCAAACACACTACACGACGCTTGGCCAGTTAGCCAATCAATTCATCCATTCATCTGTCTGGTGTACGCGTAATCAATCATGTGATTTCCAAGTGCACACACACACACACACACCATTCTATCAGTCGATGAGCATGTGAATGCCGATCGTCAACTATGCACATAGTCAAGAAACCGGAGATTGAGAGAGGTGAGTCCACATCAGTACTATCCACCTCTCGTCATCTGCCTCATCTGCAATTATCGTCATCACCATCACCACCACCATCGCTCATCATACGTCATCACGTACTGTGTCACTGAATCGTCACGGTGTGCTCGTCGTTCGACTAGTAGGTCGACAAACACCTGACTGTTTGTCCTAGTCCACTAACTGTGTTGTTAGACTATGGTGAGGAGGAGTTGTGTACAGGTGATCAGTATGTCAACCAATAGAGGATTTGAGTGATGAGCAAGTTGATAAGCGTGAGATACTATGTTGCGTTTGATTCGATGTGAGCTTCTGTCTATCTGGTCATCTGAGAGTTTGTTCATGAATGCAAGTGTGTAGTGTTAGTTGTTGTGGGTAGTGTATGAGTGAGTGAGAGTGTGTGTAGGAAATGTGAGTTGGTGGTTGAGTTTGGCTTAGTTTGGAGTGTGCTGAGTGTGGCGACATTGACGTGCTCCTCGATAGTATAGTGGTGAGTATCTCCGCCTGTCACGTGGAAGGCCCGGGTTCGATTCCCGGTCGAGGAGTCGGCTTTTACTTCACACACACAACACACACACACACACAAACAAACAAACTCGTCACCGTCTCACTCATCGTTGTCCACTCCTAGTCCACTGCATCGTATCCACTACACTACAAACGAGTGTCGTGTCAATTACGTTCGACGCACCAACATCTCCTACCTCTCATCACTGTCCCATCGGTAACCGGAACCATTCGCTCACCAATCCACTACTTCCAAACACTACTGACACACTCACAATTCACACATTTGCACGACATGCACCATTCGGAATCGCAACAGGCTTTCAGTTAGGCGGATGGACAAGATCAAAATACACTGGATCATCTGACTGATCGACTTACTGAATGATTGACTCTGAACACATCCACACACAGATCACGTCACCTACATTCGAGTTGAAACGTGCAAGTTGTCTGTTACAACGAATGTGTGATTTCAAGAGAGTGAACGATCACTGACAAATGGGTGAGTGGATGCAATGATGAGTAAGCATTGACCAGTAGACAAATACCAAGCTTTCCAGTGTAAGATGGAGGTTGGAAAGTGCGATGTGACAGTGTGTGGGCATGTGGATGTGGTTCTGTGTGAGCGTGCTCCGTGATGTGTAGTATTGGTGGAGTGGACTGACAGGATGTATGATTGTGTGTTGAAGTGACTGTGTTTGTGTAAGTTCGGTTGAGTCCGATGTACACTATGTGTACACACAGTGTACGTTAGGAGACAGTGTGTGGTGACTGTGTAGGGTGTTATGGTGTTGTGGTGTGACGAGCTGCTAAAAGCTGTTGCCCCCAGGGAGGATCGAACTCCCGACCCCTGGTTTACAAGACCAGTGCTCTGACCACTGAGCTATGGAGGCCGACGATACTCCTGCACAACACTACATCCAACATTCACTCACTCTTACAATCCACAGTCCTACATCTCGTCCACTCACTGAATCACACATCAATTTCGCCACAGTCTCAAACACTCTACAAACACACAAGTGTCCTCAGTCAGCAACACAGTCAATCGATCACATTATCACCATAGTTTGCAATCAATAATTTATTCAACCAGTCAATCAATCGACCAATGTAGCTTTCAAACACACTACACGACGCTTGGCCAGTTAGCCAATCAATTCATCCATTCATCTGTCTGGTGTACGCGTAATCAATCATGTGATTTCCAAGTGCACACACACACACACACCATTCTATCAGTCGATGAGCATGTGAATGCCGATCGTCAACTATGCACATAGTCAAGAAACCGGAGATTGAGAGAGGTGAGTCCACATCAGTACTATCCACCTCTCGTCATCTGCCTCATCTGCAATTATCGTCATCACCATCACCACCACCATCGCTCATCATACGTCATCACGTACTGTGTCACTGAATCGTCACGGTGTGCTCGTCGTTCGACTAGTAGGTCGACAAACACCTGACTGTTTGTCCTAGTCTACTAACTGTGTTGTTAGACTATGGTGAGGAGGAGTTGTGTACAGGTGATCAGTATGTCAACCAATAGAGGATTTGAGTGATGAGCAAGTTGATAAGCGTGAGATACTATGTTGCGTTTGATTCGATGTGAGTTTCTGTCTATCTGGTCATCTGAGAGTTTGTTCATGAATGCAAGTGTGTAGTGTTAGTTGTTGTGGGTAGTGTATGAGTGAGTGAGAGTGTGTGTAGGAAATGTGAGTTGGTGGTTGAGTTTGGCTTAGTTTGGAGTGTGCTGAGTGTGGCGACATTGACGTGCTCCTCGATAGTATAGTGGTGAGTATCTCCGCCTGTCACGTGGAAGGCCCGGGTTCGATTCCCGGTCGAGGAGTCGGCTTTTACTTCACACACACAACACACACACACACACAAACAAACAAACTCGTCACCGTCTCACTCATCGTTGTCCACTCCTAGTCCACTGCATTGTATCCACTACACTACAAACGAGTGTCGTGTCAATTACGTTCGACGCACCAACATCTCCTACCTCTCATCACTGTCCCATCGGTAACCGGAACCATTCGCTCACCAATCCACTACTTCCAAACACTACTGACACACTCACAATTCACACATTTGCACGACATGCACCATTCGGAATCGCAACAGGCTTTCAGTTAGGCGGATGGACAAGATCAAAATACACTGGATCATCTGACTGATCGACTTACTGAATGATTGACTCTGAACACATCCACACACAGATCACGTCACCTACATTCGAGTTGAAACGTGCAAGTTGTCTGTTACAACGAATGTGTGATTTCAAGAGAGTGAACGATCACTGACAAATGGGTGAGTGGATGCAATGATGAGTAAGCATTGACCAGTAGACAAATACCAAGCTTTCCAGTGTAAGATGGAGGTTGGAAAGTGCGATGTGACAGTGTGTGGGCATGTGGATGTGGTTCTGTGTGAGCGTGCTCCGTGATGTGTAGTATTGGTGGAGTGGACTGACAGGATGTATGATTGTGTGTTGAAGTGACTGTGTTTGTGTAAGTTCGGTTGAGTCCGATGTACACTATGTGTACACACAGTGTACGTTAGGAGACAGTGTGTGGTGACTGTGTAGGGTGTTATGGTGTTGTGGTGTGACGAGCTGCTAAAAGCTGTTGCCCCCAGGGAGGATCGAACTCCCGACCCCTGGTTTACAAGACCAGTGCTCTGACCACTGAGCTATGGAGGCCGACGATACTCCTGCACAACACTACATCCAACATTCACTCACTCTTACAATCCACAGTCCTACATCTCGTCCACTCACTGAATCACACATCAATTTCGCCACAGTCTCAAACACTCTACAAACACACAAGTGTCCTCAGTCAGCAACACAGTCAATCGATCACATTATCACCATAGTTTGCAATCAATAATTTATTCAACCAGTCAATCAATCGACCAATGTAGCTTTCAAACACACTACACGACGGTTGGTGGTCGATGATTTACGATTTGGTTTACTTATAGTACAAAACACACACACTTTATTTTGTCACTTAACGTGAATGATTGCTCTAATAACATTACATGAATTGTCACTTATGTTAAAGTATAATGTACATGTATAAATTGATCAATTTTATGTGATATTTGATATAATATAACTTTATTTAATTTCTATACATTTGATGCATATTTTGTACATTTGAATTCAATAAGAAGTTTCGTAAACAGAATCGAATATGGGATATGAAAATTAATGGAATAATAAAATGAAAGACAATATATTTAAAGCACAATATTTATAATGGATTTTTTATTATTTTAGAATATTTCTGTTAGAGTTAATTCATTTCTTAGATATTGAACCATTGTATTTATTGTGGTTTTTGATACGATTACGTAATGTGAATGTAATACACTATGATTTATGAAGAGAAAAAAACAACAAACATGAAAAATAGAATGAAAGTATCAGTATGTTTTCTTATCAATATGAATAAATATGTAGTATTTTTAAAAGAAAATGAGGCGAGATTCTTATTTATAGAAGAGCTAATCAGAAGCGTTTCAGAGATTTCAAGGTTACGACGTCAACTTCAGTGCTTAATACTAATGTACGATCGGTTCACAGTAGATTTTATACAAAAAGTGATAATTGAGCGACTATATTAAATAAAACGGTGAGACTATAATTTGTGGACGACCCAACTAGGTATAAGATAACGGATCTTGAATTTTAGCGTGAAAGCCTTTCATGCATTTCGCTAAATAACGAAGGCAAATTATGACAATTATTGCGAATTGGATAATAAAAGCACCAGTAATACTGGCTGCAGTCAGGTACTACAATATATACGGATGTTTGGAGAGCGTACAGACTCATATATAGGCTTGGTTATGTGCATCGTATCGTTATCCACAAGTAGCATTTTGTGCACTCAACAACCGGAGCGCACATAAACAATATTGAAACTATGTGGTCGAAGCTGAAAGAGTATTTGAGACTTTATCATGGCTTCAAATGCCGAATATTATGTAGCCATATGAATGATTTCCTCTACTACATGCATTACGATTTTAGAATCTCTTTCTGACTCTGAAAAGTTTTTGAACCACGTATACAAATTGTATACACTTTATTTCTTTGGTTTTGTAAAATATATTTTTACTCTATATTGACTGTTAGTTGAGTGGTTAATATTTATCGAAGTCACTTAAGATTTGTTCAAAGGTTGGCCATAAATTATAGTCTCGCCGAAAATGAGACACAAACCAACTAAGGTTACCGATATGGATTATAGTATGCTTATTTATTGGTTCAAAAGTTAAGTGCTTCTGAATTAGACTTTTGGTGTTATTGTAGATGACCACTGTTAATAGATCATATAATAGGTTGAAATACTTGTCTAGTTCTTCTTGATTTCCAATGGTTGTTTAACTAAAATCAGTCAGCGATAGAAATAACAAACACGAAACAGTTGGTCAACATCACAATGACTATTACATATCTACATATTCTTATCGCTTCCATGTTTACCTAACCTACATCCACCTGTTACTTATTAAGAGTTGTGTGTTTTGGTGCCCTATTCAACCGGTCATTATACATACATTTTTCACTATTCACAAGTTGAACGGATGATGAGACTATAATTTATGGACAACCTTTGAGTGACGCTAAAATGACTTTGAAAATGTTCATCTACTGACTAGGGTTAAATGAGAATTATAAATTAGTGCAAGGAACTAAGATTAGAATTTATAGTTGTATGTTTAAGTTAGAAATTATATTTAATGTTTTCATCACGAACTGACATCAGTTATAATGGTGAAATGGTTATTTAGACAAATGAACAGATGAATCTTACACCGAAATCTAAGACCTATTATCTTAAATCTGATTGATTCGTTCATAAATAATTATAGTCTCGCCAAATGGATTAGATAACATGAAATATTGCAAACTTTTCTGTCAAAGATACTATACTGGTTCAATTTAAATTGTAATTGAAAAACAAATGGTGAAACCAACGATTACACTAGAAAGATGTTGCAAACTTAACCATTCATTTCTTTGCCACAATCCTTATGCTAATACCTAATGAAAAATTGTTGTGAAGAAAAATTGGAATGGTTTATTTTACCAAAGCGATGGTAGACATGTGTTAGCCTATTGGTTAGTGAAGTTCATCAATAAGTCTCTCGTTCGAAACCCACTCCACCTTATACTACTCAGGCGATTAAATATTGTTACTAGCCATCGTACACAGATAATATATATATATATATATATATATATATATATATATATATATATATATATATATATATATATATATATATACTAAACAGTAGTAACTGGTAAAACAACAGAAAACAAATGCAAATTAATAATCACATGCGATTATAAAAGCTACAAAAATATACCAAATGTACATGTGTGTTATCAATTGACTGAGACTACAATTTATGGACGACCTTTGAGCAACGCTGGAGTGACTATGAGAGTGTCCACCTATTAACCGGTACCAAATGAGGGTTATAGACTATTGTGAGGAATTGGAATTATGATTTATAGTTGATAGGTAAGGGTTAGGAATTAGATTTAGGGGTTTTCATCACGAACTGACATCATCTATAATGTCAAAACTCCAAATGGATGAGTGAATTTCGTGCCAAAATCTGAGACCTATTAACTTATGCTTGATTGGTTTATCCATAAATTATAGTCTCGCCGCCAATTCAATAAACTATATACCTGATCATCGAAAAGATCCATCAGCTTTTGTTGTCCAATTATAATACCATCAGATTTAAGCATATTATGTACAACATCGAATTCTAATGGCTGAAAAGAAACGTTATTATCAATATTATTTAAATTACCGTATAAGTTAAAATATTCATGTATAGATTGGGATTATTCTTTAAATAATGTAATACAATTTGATTTATATTACCCTATAATGAAAGGAAAGTAAACAGAACAAAATTCAATAGATTGAATATAGTAAGAAAAGAGAGTAACTCATAACACCTAATAGTTATGTATTGTTTGTTGGTATCCAACAAACACTAACAGACAACAGATAACTCAATAGTTTAGTGGATTATACAATAATATTTAAAGTGATCAATGTTAGATCTGACTCTTGAAATAAAAATCAATACTGAGATGACATTCAAATTGGTTGTTGTGGGATATTTCAATAGCTGAGATTATAAATCAATTGAAGCTAGACCACAATGAAAACCTGAAAGCACTGGACCGTTGTTTCACCCTATTGTGGGACTCCTCAGTAGTGTGCATTCTCAATCCCGCACAGCGAGATTCAAACCAAAGACCTATCAGTTTCGCGTATGAACGCTTAACCTCTAGACCACTAAACCGATCGGCATCCAACGGTGTTAACGACTAACCTCAACCAATCCACGAAATTGCGCGATCATCTTCCATTGTAATGAAGTACATACCTGCTTCTACCTGACACGGATTAGCGTTTGCATCTGAGATTGAAAACTCTGGGTTCGAATCCCACGAGGCGAGATCGTGAATGCGCACTACTGAGAAGCCCCACAATAAAACGAAACGGTCATCCAGCGCTTCCAGATTTTCAATGGTGATCTAACATCAATCAGTTCATGATCCCAATCAATAATAAAACTACATATTCCTTCACAAGATCCAAATAAGAAATATTTGGACAGAATAGCTGAATGGCCTAAATTGACTACGACCTTTTTGAGTCAGTTGTAATTGTCTCTGTTATCTTTATTCGCAAATCTTTGTATTATTATCCCTCGAGCGGGATCGTGGACATGCACTGTTGAGGAGTCCCACAATAGGACGAAACAGCCGTCCAGTGCTTTCAGGTTTTCAATAATGGTCTAACATCAATCAGTTCATGATCTCAATCAAAAACTTAATAATCTCCATAACTCCTATACTGATGATTATAATGTAATTTAACCAGTTTAAACATTGAACAATACAAAAAAAATATATATTTACAATAATAACTATAAATACCTTGATCTTATTGACTTGTTTTCGACTTAGTTTTTTCAAATCTTGACTATTTGAATGAGACAGTTCATTAGATGAAATAACTTCAGAATTCAATAAATTTTGTAATTCATTTGAAGGAGTTGAAGTTGATAATAACAATTCACCATTATTATTATTATTATCAGTATCATTTTCACAACGTATGGGTAATAATGATACATTATTTACATTATTTGAAACATTTAATATCATCTTTTTAGATCTATCTAATCTATTATTACATTTCTTTTCTTTATCTATACAATTTTCTTGTAATTGTCTATCATTATGGTACTTCACTGATCCAATTCGTTTGTTAGACATCAATTGATTCTGTTCATCTTCTTCATCTATATTGAAAATTTCCGGGGGGGAGGTTTTTGACAAAAAGCAATAAACAGAAACAGTGACTTAGTTCAAACATTAAATACAACTAGTAAATAATAGTCACGAACTGATGTTGATGAAACCTATATTGAAAACCTGGAAGCATTGAGACATCTGTTTTGTCCTAATGTGAGATTCTTCAATAGTGCGCAGTTTCTGTAATTCTAGTGAGCATCCGTGACTAGTGGAGTTCAACTATGTCAGGTGTGAGAATTATCGACACCAGACAATGAACGGTGATTTCGAAATACCGCAGATTGATTGGATTTCAACATTAACACCGTTGAATGCTGATGCGTTAGTTTGGGTTTAGATTTTAGGGTACAAGATCGTGAACGAGCCCTAAACCACAACGAAACATCCATCGAGTGCTTTCAGGTTCCAATTGTGATCTAACCAAAATCAGTTTGTGATTTAAAATATATGAGAACTCTGTAGTCTTCATCAAATCCCATATTGATAAATAATCCTTTGTCAAGAACAAATAAAACCAAGGAGTTGCTACACCATTCATTTATCCTAATGTGAAGCATTTATCCATAAATGACACTGAACAACGGTTGCACTATACATTATGGATTGATTACAGCTGGGAACGTAAAACGTTGGATATAAATTCAGTTTATCAAAAACTGATATACTTGATATGAAAAATAGTGTTTTTAGTGAGGTTTTAGTTACACACTGGTACAACTTTTATGCTAGAGTGAAACAGTTGCACAAATATTTGAAATACACGATCTGAAACCTGAAAGCCTAAAGTTCGATCCCATGTGGGATTGTGAGCGAAGACAACTGTAAAGTCTACAGCACCCCTCCCACAATTAGTTTGATTTACGGTTAATTTGTCAAGCCATTCAATTAACTTATTTAACAGACAGTGTTATACGAACAGTAACAATTTGTCCATTTTTTGTATTATTGATATATCCTGTTCACATGATCATGTATGCTTGATCACAAGTGACAGCTTACGCACATATCTCTCTCTAGCTTAAATGTTAGTTGTTCAAATATCGCTCGATGGATTATATATATATATATATATATATATATATATATATATATATATATATATATATATATATATATGCTTGAAACTTAATAATTGCTTCACTTTGCTTTGATTCGTTTCGACTCTGAATTCGTCTAAGTATTCGTTTGCTCGTGCACATTAGCCTTTCCGCTCAAATCTGCTTGGTGTGTTTGTAATTTGTTATCTGCGCCATCCAATAATAAATTATAGTCGGTGCTTCGTGTTGCCTTCTGAATTCATACCCCATTGGAATTTATTTAATAACAGTTATCAGGGTGATTGATAAGTTAAACCTAATGGATTATCTCGAAGCCAAATCGCTACAAGTTCTAGATCAAAATGGCACAAATATCTATTGCTCTTTAGTTTTCAGTGATTCTTCAGGTTTCTTCTTTGATCCATGCTGATAATTAACATCCTATTGGACAATTTCCACAAATGCCTCATAATGGTAATGGTAATAATATCCTCATTAGTAACTTGCTTCATGAAACAGACATTGTGATAGATGGAGGTTAAACCATATGTGAAGTGAAATGTCATCATTTACTAAAAGGTATGTTTTGTTGATGCATTTGTCTGTATATCACTGCTGATTTATTAAACAGTTATTCGATATTGATTCATATACAAGAATTACATGAAGAATACAACCTCATCAGTAATCTTTGTTTATATATATATGGTCTGGGATACTGTCTGGACGACCGAAACGAAGCAAGTGGCTTCCTCAGTAGACAGCCTTTTGAATCTTCAACCTAGATGTCTAATCCACAAAGCACCAGAGAAACCTTGGCAGATGCGACCCCATGGTAGCTAGTGATTGAAATAGATCCGTATGCTAATTACTCTCTCAGGATCCTGGAGCCCATAAAACCCATTGACATTAAGCCATGGTTTTTCTATCTTCTTCGATGGACGCTTCATCTCCACTAACTCACTTTAAGCGTCGGATATCCTCTTTTCATCCTCCCAGTTTCATATAAATCACCGCCACATGAAGGTGATGAGAAGGAACTTCCCAATAGAAGCTAGAAAGACATATGGGTGAATTATTCTTTTGAGAAAGAAGGAAAGAACAAACTTTCGCAACCCCTGACTATACCAAATCATTTGGGAGCATCAATACAACTGAAAAAAAGAGAATAGACTTACATTGATGAAGTTGATTATATATTTCTTTTAAGAGTAGTATAGCACGTTTACGTGGAAGAGGTTTCACACCATATTTAGATAAAGCACGCTAAAACAATAAAAATGAAACAAGAGAATACTGAAAAGTTTGAAATGTTTCAAAGAAATAACTGCTCCAACTCCACAATTGAAATGATAAAATTTAAGTTGAATGAAAATAGGTATTGACTGTAAACAACTAATTTACCATGGAATATAGAAAGTGAACAGCTTACGTGTTTAGTGATCCAAGTGTTGAACAGTATATTCATAACCTCATAATTCATTATAGTATGAATATACTTATTTATTTCTTACCCGTGTTACCTCACATGTGGGAACATAAGCCACTCACCAGCATTCTCCATCCAACTCTGTCTTAGTCAGTCCTTTCCATCACTTTCGTATCTGCTTCAATTCCCAACGAATTGTGTTCTTTGGTCTTTCTCTTTTTCGTTTCCCTTCAGGATTCCAAGCTGGCACTTGCCACGTGATGCAGTTTGATGATTTCCTCAATATGTGTCCTATCCACTTCTAACATATTTTCCTAATTTCCTCCTCAACTGGAAGCCAGTTTGTTCTCTTCTACAGAAGGCTGTTGCTGGTGATATACGGCCGACGGGTATTGAGTATCTTGCGTAGACAATTGTTTAGAAATACCTGTACTTTCTTGATGATAGTTGTAGTAGTTCGACACGTTTCAGCTCCGTACAGTAGAACTGTCTTGACGCTCGTACTGAAGATGGTGACTTGGATATTGGTTGACAGTATTGTTTTGAGTTCCATATGTTCTTCAACTATATGAAGGCGGCTCTTGATTTGCTAATACTCGCTTTCACGTTTGCATCAGATCCTCTTTAGTCATCGATGATACTGTCCAGGTACGTAAAGGATTCCACATCTTCCAGAGCTTTTCCATCAAGCGTGATTGGGTTGATGTTCTCCGTGTTGCATTTGAAGATCTTATTTTTTTTCGTTGAGTATGTTGAGACCTTCTGGTGCAGAGGCCGTTGCTAAACTAGTTGTCTTCATCTGCGTTTGTTCATGCATATGAGATAGAAAGGTCAGGTCATCTGCAAAGTCCAAATCTTTTAATTGGTTCCGAGCTGTCCATTGTATTCCGTGCTTCCCGTTAGTTGTGGTTTTCATAATCCAGTCAACCACCAGAAGAAAGAGAAAGAGTAAGTAGCACTTCATGACAAAAGTCCTCCCTTAGAATTCATTCGTCAGCTTTCCTCTATGCACTGCAGTCCATCGCATCAATTCCGTATGATGCTGACGATTTTCTCAGGTACACCATAGTGTCCAAGATGTTTCCATAATGTTCTCCTATTCACACTGTCAAATGCTTTCTCACAATCGAGGGAGCTGGTGTATAGTGACGAATTCCATTCGACTGATTGTTAAAAATGATCCGTAGTGTCGCGATTCGGTCTGTGCACAACCGATCCTTAAGGGATCCAGCCTGTTGACCTCGAAGTTGGGTGTCTACTGAGTCTCTCATCCGGTTCAGTAACACTCTGTTGAAAACCTTTCCTGGTACTGACAGTAGTGTGCTGCCTCTGTAGTTCTCACATTTGCTCAGATCTCCTTTCTTTGGAATCTTGATGGTGTTCTTCTTTCCAGTCCATCGGCACTTGTTACTCCTCCCAAATCTTTCTGAATAGAACGCGGCTGTTGTTAAATGCTGTCTTCTTGTTCTTCCTTTCTTGAATCTTGTTCAGTGTTTCTATAGAGATTCATTCCTTATGATGATGCTTCTTCAGGCCCAGAACCTCCTGACAAGTTGAAGTCAGTGCTTCTTTGATACCTTTCCAGTTGTCCTCCATAGTAGTTTCTTCTTCCTTCAGTAGATCCTGTAAGGTTGAAACCTGTTGTCGAGAGCTATCTTGAATTCGTTGAGTTTGCTAGTATCTCGAAGGAAGGCTGTATTGAACCTTTGTAATGCTGTCCCCCCAGTTTTCCAGTGTTTCTTTAGCTTCAGTTCCATCTTGGTCACCACCTAGTGATGACCTGAAGCTGTGTCATCTCCTCTCCTGATTCTCACACCTTCCATTGTCCCTCGGGATTTTTTGTTGATGCGAATATGATCTATTTAGTTCTCTGTAGTGTGGTCCGGTGAGATTCATGTGACTTTTTGTATACGTTTTTGTGGAAATATTGTGCCGCCTATGACCAATTTGTTGGATGCACACAGATTTGCAAATCTTTCCCCATTTTCGTTTCTCTCTCCCAGTCCGTTTCGTCCCATGATATCTTTATATCTGGTGATGTCTACTCCGACTTTGGCGTTTAGATCTCCTATCAGAATGGTGAGGTCCTTTCTTGGGCACTTCGGTATGATCGATTGCAGCCTCTCGTAAAACTGATCTCTATTGTCGTCGTTGCTATCATTAGTATGTGCATAACATTGGATAACATTAATTGTAATTCCCTCCTTCTTTGTTTTGAACGATGCTCTGATGATCCTGAGTCCAAGAGATTCCCGTCCCACAAGTGCTTTACGTACTTCTTTGGACAGCATCAGAGCAACTTCCCGAGTGTGTGGAGCATTTTCCTCTTCGTGACCGCAGTGCAACAGCATCTCTCCTGTAACTAACGTTTGCTGTCCAGCTTGGGTCCAATGGGTTTCACCAAGTTGTATCTCCTCGTTTCCACAGCTATTTGACTGGTCCTCCCGGCTTCCTCCCCATAATGTCTGGACGTTCCAGGTACCTATAAAAGTTGTTGCTCTGGTTGTTAGAAGTGACATCAGTCTCGTAACTTACAAAGAATCTCACATTTCATCATGAGGCTTCATAATTCATTACTTCAACTAGGAGGATATGCCTGAACGCCGATTACCACGACGTACAATGCTAACTAGTGTAGGGGATGGTTGGAAGAAAGTTAGGGGAGGCCAAACCAAAACGTGGCATCATTGCTTGAAGGCACTAATTTTTTCTTCCTATACTATGTCCTTACATGCAATCTTTCTTTTATATATTACCACCACTAAATTAACTACTATGAATCCGGTGTTCATCTTGTTGTGCTAATGAGGTATGACAAGTTGGACCGATGCTCGTATGTGCCTGGTCTTATGTTGTACCTGACTGAAGAGGGATCTTATCAGGAAAATTACGAAAAAGAGATCATGTAAATTGGGAAAGTTGGTCGTGAAGATTAAGATAAATGTAATCAGAAAAAAAAATGGGAAGATGGTAAGTGGTTTACAGTATTCAGTTTACGTAGCCGGTGATTCAGTTGTAAGCCAAGGTAAACATAGAGGCTGGATAAACCGTTTCTTGATATATATAAGTTCGGTTTTCTGGAGTTGATCCAGATGGCTTCAGCTATTTAGAGTAGCCATGACTTAGCTCCTTGAGGTAGATTTTTTGGAACTTCATATAAAACAGAGAAAACTTCCTCTGTTTTGATATGATGTTCACTATCTACCAAGTAAGAAAGAATAGTACTGTTGATCGATCTAGTAATTCCTTTTCCCAAGCATGCACATGTTCACGAACACACAAGGATAAAGCCCTATGTAACTAGCTCCACAGGAGCAGTTGAATTGGTATATATACATGGAGGAGCCCATCATCGGTAACCTATGTCGTGACAGACACAAACACTCATCATTTTTAACATATAACATTGTCGAATTCATTAATGCCATGCCTTATTTTGGCCTTTGTAAAAGATCACAATAAATATGGACTGTAGAGCTTGATGATGATGTAGCTATTACAGAAACAATTGTTCTCTCAAATATCCTTCTTTTTTTAGATTTCTTTATTACAGGCAGAAAGTTAGTATAATTTACAAAATTATTATGAATCTAAAGAACTAAATTAAAGTCAGCACAATATAACAGTCAAAAACTACATTCCCTATGTCATGTAGTTTCTATGGAAGAATATAGATATATATGAAAACAAACCTATCCACTCACTCATCTCCAGTACACTATGTTCTTATTTCTGCTCGCAAATATGTCTAACAACATAATGCATGTGAACTAATCTCTTGAATCGAATGGTGAAACATTTTGACTTACTAAACAGACATATAATTAGATTAGATTATAAGACAGTTGTGAAGACAGTGAAAACAATATATTTCAGGCTAAAAATCTTCAAGCTTATGAATTTTGTGGTTATAAGGTAAACAATAGTTAAAATGGATTTTATCTAATAATATCATTATTAATTAGATTGTTTTATGTTAGACAGGATAAGTAGTGAGGATACAGGGCTTAATGAAACCGAACAAGAATAAAACTGATAAGTCAGTCAGTAACAACGTAGAACTTCGTACGTATGTACATCAGTTCAAGTTGCCATACCACATTAGCACAGAGATACACTTGTCGATTCAAATCCCATAGTGGTGGAGGTAGTAAAAGTATAAGCAATAATCGGAAAGATTAGGGTTTGAAGATGTTATTCAAGGAGTATAATCCAGTGAAATAAATTTGGAAAGAGAAAGAGGAAAGGGACATGAAGAAGTTAGAAGATTATAATTTGGGGAAACACAAAGAGTGGATGCACCTGCGCCATTGCAAACGATGTTGATCCATATCATTCAGGGTCTGTAACCGTCGGTTGCTATCATCTCGCGGTCCCCAACCAGGTAGTCTACACCTACCAATATGGCTCAGTTCACTTGTCGATGACTTCATGGATTTGTGCCATGTTTTGGTCTGGCCGACCCTAGCTTTCTTCCTGCCTACTCCTACACCATAAAACATCGCACGTCGAGGCAGTCGGTCGTTGGGCATACGTAACACGTGTCCCAGTCATCTCAAATGATGACGTCTTACGACTTCGTCAATTGATTCGCCATCCTTAACTAGTACCCGTTTCCTAACAATTGTGTTACTTACTCGATGGTCCCATGATATACGAGCAATGTTTCGAAGACACCTATGATCGAATACTAGTAACCTACGAATATCCTCTACTCTTACCGGCCATGTTTCACTGCCATAAAGTAGGACGAAACGAACTGTTGCGCAGTAAACACATCCTTTAGTTGGTAGACGGATATCTCGTCTACGCCACAAATGACGTAAATTGGCAAAATCTAGTCGAGCCTTCTGTATCCGTGCTGAGATTTCGTCACACACTAGACCACAAGGGCTGATGAGACTTTCCAGATAAGTGAAGCGGTCGACACACTCAACTACTTCACTCCCTATCATTAGTTCGGGTGTCGATGAAAACCAATCCTGAAACAACATTTTGTATTTCGAGTGGTAGAACCGCGTCTCGAACATGATTGCATTGTTGCTTAGAGTGGTCAGAAGATTCGGCATTTTGTCAGCGTCTTCACCAAATAGAACTATGTCATCGGCATATTCTAAGTCCATAAGTGGATCGATCTCCCGGTAGAAGTTCAACCCATAATAATTACAAAGCACACAATATGTTACGATCAATATGACAAACAGGTAACGACAGCCAATTTTCAACAGGTAGGATATGATTTCCGGCCATATCTTATCTACTACTGAGTACTAGATAAGTAGGATAATTGACCTATATATACTCACTATAAGTAATGGGCTATTTCACAAGCATATAAATAATTGCTGAGTTGTAAAAAGAGAAGTGACATCTAATGAGAACATTTTCTTACCGATTACGTTGATATTTCTAATTGAGTCGACAAATTCAAAGGAGTCAATAAATACAATTATCTTGACTCCTTTGAATTTGTCGACTCAATTAGAAATATCAACGTAATCGGTAAGAAAATGTTCTCATTAGATGTCACTTCTTTTTTTCAAATGTCCCTCTCACAGAAACCATTTGTTTTTTATGTGACTATATTGAAAACAATAATCTTGATATGTGTATCCCAAAGCATTACCTTAAAAAACTACTACTACGATGTACGCTCAACGTGCAATTTAGATTTAATAATGTTTTCTGAAAACAAATAAATGGAGTTGCAATAAGCTCTACATTGGGTCTTCTCCTAGCTGATTGTTTCATGGCTAATCTAGAAAATTCGGTACTTCGACCAATAATTGAAAGATTTCGTTTATATAGGAGATATATAGATGATACTTTCATTACCTGTGAAGAAGACATAGACCTTAATGGAATTTTGAATAGTTTCAATAATTGTCACCCATCCATTCAATTTACTTTAGAAGCGGAGGCAAACCATGAATTTCATTTTCTTGATGTCCGATTGAAAAGAATACCGGATGGGTTTTTTTACAAATTTACTTGCTCATGTGGGGCAAGTTACATAAGCCTCACAAAGCGATCATTATCCAGACGCATCTCGGAACATTATCTGGCCTGGCTCTTAAAAGGGGAACGTAAAACAAATAACTAGTTCTATACAGGAGCACTTAATTAACTATGGACATATCGCTCCAAAGGACTCTTCATTTAAGGTAGCCTACAGAGTCAAAGGAACTGGATCGAATCAATATTTTATGCACCGCACAGGCATTAGCAATCCACAAACTCAAGCCTGAACTTTGCAGAGACGATTTGTCCAACCTGTCATCCTTCCTTGGCCCTTATTCCCTTAATGGGTATGTTTCTGCGTTGGTGTTTTTTGTAGTTGTTTTTCTGCACCTTTTATTTAATTATTATTGATTTTTTTTTCAAATTACTATTTTGTACTTTAAACTCCAATCATTTATTATTATGATCTTTGTTGTTTGTCACTTTTCTTCATATCTGTCAATTGGACTATTATCTGATCCATAAATTCTGTTCTTCCTTACCTCTTGATTAGTACGTTAACCTTATTTGTTATTTATTCTCAAATCCATTTTCTTTTGTGATACAATCTTTTCTATCCTTCTATAGATATACATTTTCCATATCTAACTATATATACGAATGTACAGGTTAAGTAAATGATTTTGTCGAAAAGAGAAAGATTTCTTCGCTGAATTCTCTTCTTCTTATTAAATTGACATGAGTTATTATAGTGAACTTACTTTCAATTCTGGAGTCATCATTTCTTCATATTTAGGTAATGGAGTAAAAGGAATTGGTGTAGTGTTGACTGATTCTATCATAGAATTTGGTACATTTTTATCTGGTGTCAATAATTGATTTGAAACAAATGTTTCTTGACAATTTTCTCTATTAGTAGGTTTAATGGTGGACAAACTCTCATCGATTTCCTGTATCTCTTTATTACAATCATCATCATTATTATTACTATTGTGATTATGGAATGAATTTGTAGTAAAAAAATCAACTATTGAATCAGTTAGAATAGATTTTACCGTATGACAAACAGAATTAGAAGGAATAGTATTAACTATACTACTATTTTTAACATCAGTAGTAATAGTAGTTACATTCAATAATGAATTTGAAACTATTTCATCATTATTTGATAAGCGTATACGTTTCATTAAAGGTGATGGAGTTGTTTCATCTTCTAACCAAGAATTATAAAAATGCTTTGGAGTAGTAACTTGTATATCATTATTTAAGATTGGAGATAATTTTGTACAAGTTGGAGAGTTGTTTAAGAGGAGGATTGGTGAATTATTATCCGTTGTTTCTTGCTTAAATGATAAAACAAAACCAAAATAGATAGGTGAGTTCCTTTGAAAAAAACAAATAGGTTTAATCAACAATGGGAAACCTCAAAATATATACAGTTCTCAACTTTATTTCAAGTCAATTACTTTTGCTTCCAAAGTTGCAAGAAAGTGATCAAAATTACTTTTAGTCAATCCGAGATTTTTGGATATTTTTACAGGAGATTTAAGAACTTCCCTGTCCGACTAAACGGGACAGTAAGAACTCGAAAAGATAGGGATACACGCCGTTGTCTCAGCCTAAGTTACCACAGACTGCAGCTCAGATGAAGTCAATGACGAATTTTATAGAAAGCTTTTCACCCTCCTCTCAAAAAGTAAAACGTTCGGATGTAATAAAATGCAAGATGATTTTAATGACCAAGTAGGTAGATTAATCCAAACCGAAAGGCACTTGTGTAGATCTTACGGTGTCGCGGCCTAGCAAACAAACAATGGGACCGTCTGCCATAACTGTGTTTAGACAATCTCCAATAACTAGCAAGCACCAACTTAAAGCATAAAAAACGTCCCTTAACATGGCGACCCGCTCAAAGGATGTACTCGAATAGACCATAATGCCATCAGCCATCGTTCGATAGGCTCGATAGAAGACTGTCACTCATTCCGGTGCACATGTTGGGACACAGATCATGCTCTAGCTCACACGCGTATTAGTCCACACCTTTTACCATGTACCATATTGGTGATCGACTGGATCACGAAAATGTCAACATCTGGGGGGGCAGCATAGGATACAGTGGACTAGTTAGAATTCTGGCTAGAAAGCATGTGATTTGTTAAAACATGACTAATTTAAATGTCATCTAAATACTTTCACAATAGATTTATCACATATCAGAAAAATAATGCTTTACATATTACTAGAAAATTACCTGGATAAGTGAAATATCAACATGAACTATAATGATATCAATCAGTTACGTAATAAGTAAAATAGACTTACTTCTGTTGTAAGCTTACTAATTGTTTTAAATGTACCATGAAGGTTACTATCATCAACAGATTGTAACGATTCTACTTGATTAGAATGATGATAAGTTTCTATATCAACATTATCGATATTCCCATTGATACTTTCCTCATTATCGGAGAATAAAAATAAATCCCGACTAAATCGAGCTGGATTAGAGGTGTATAACTTTGATGGAATCATAGGAGTATGAACTGATATTAATGATGATAACGATGATTGAGTTGTAATTGGGATAATAGTGGAATCAACAAAGCTAGATGTAGAATTTGTGTATTTGTAATCGGTAGTTGTAATATGATTATGATTTATTTGTAAAGAAGAGTTATTAATTTGTGTTGTTTCATTTGATGTTGATGATGTTTGTATTGAAATAACAGAAGGAGTAGGATGAGAATAATGATTAACCGTTTTGTAATCTGTTGATAAATTAGTTGAATGTATTAAACAACAATCTTCCGTTTTAACAATGTTGAGTTCAGATTTTACACTATTCAGACCCCAGCTTAAAATAGAACATTTATATATACAAATAGAAATGATATAATCATATATGTTATGTATATAGCTGAAGATATTATATAAGTTTTGATATGAACTGTTATAAATGATCTTAGAAAATCTAAAAGATCAATAATCATATGTTTTAGGTCCAAATGCCCTGTTATGGCCGAGAGTGGGGTGGGCCAGCCCTCCTTCTCGAAATGCTCTCACACGGCTACGTGTATATAGCCTCTGCCACGGAAGTCCTACTCACTACATTCTCGTGGCGGGAAGTTGGTTACGAAAATGAGAAAACGAAAAGCGAATGTCCGGCGCTTTAACCGGATCCCAAGCCAATGGGGCACATGGGTTCCAGTATCCTAAAAGAACAAATGGTGTATGAACCAATTTTTGGTCACCGGCTACCATGGGACTGCATCTCTTTACGATGCTCCACTGCCTTGCGGATCAGACTTTCAGGTCAAAGGCTCATAGTGTGGCCCCCTAAGAAAATCACCTACTTCGGTCTGGGCACCCGGGCAGTATCACAGCCCTCACACAAGCATGATGAACTGTCGATGATTGTGTGGCGCATATATATTTGGTGCCCTCTTGTACCAATATTTATGTGTTCAAACAAATAAATAAATAAATGATGATTACATTGACAATTTTACTGGTTACTCAACTTTCTTGTACTACCCATTCCTTAAATGTTGAAAAGTTTGGAAGATTTATTTCATTACCGAGCTTGAGATCTATTGATGTATCAGTGGATAATTCTAGAATTCTGACAAATTTCAAATCATCTGTTAATATTACTAGGAGATTATGAAGTACTTAAGTCCGTTCCGACATATAGTTAGTTAAATAATCAATACAACATAGAAATATGACGTGGTGCAGTAGTAATCATGTAGCTGGGGCTTTTTGTCATTGAACGTTCTCAAGCTTGATAAAGAATAATGAATTCTCATGACTTTATTAATTAGGAATGAAATATAAGTATTTAGAAGAAAACAATTCACTAACAAAACAATAATAGTCTAGCTATTCTCCAAATTTCATTGAATGAATTCCTTTCCAACATAAATTGATAAATACAAGATGAGTTCAATTAAATAGAAATAAAAACGAATAAAAAGCATTTTGCTTCAATCAATGGTTGTTAATCTTATTTCCTAAACTGTAATTTTGTGAGACTTAGTGTTAACTAATACTGGAAATTCATAAATTCAAGTGTACTACTGTTATACAGGATAAACATAGTTGTTAAAAAAACGGTCGAGTAAATTTACCCAATCAGTTCGATCAAAACTGGCTTATACATATACAACACAACAATACATACAGCTGACGAGTCCCAAGTAGGACGAAATATGCGTCCTGAATTCCACCACTAGCCACCACTTAACCCTGCTTAACAAACATCAGAGGTTGGAGAAATTGATATGAACCAATAAAAAACTACTGCACGACTCCTCTTTAGAAAAAAAACGACTAGTAGAAACGGAGAAATAAGTGGTATCATCATAGCGAGCAACCAAATAGTATGTATATAATCAGTTATTTATTTAATCAGTTAGCTAGTACTATATGAAGGATAAACAACCATCACAAAGTAAATCCACTGTTTGAAAGAGATCCTCGTTTCCACATTTTCGATTTGAGGGTGATATTTCTCATGACATACTGACGAGATATCTACATAGACCGATCACAGGGACATTGATCTCAATAAGTCTTTGTAAAAACCACTATAAACATTCTTCCATATGTGCACATGACCAAGATAAGTTTCCAAGACCAATCGATTTAATACGAGTGTACCAGTTTACCTCCTCATGTGGAGATAGATGCGTAGTTCGTTCGTGTAGGTTAATTCTCCATCTCATTTTGTAGCATCTACCAGTATGGTTTGGAAAAGTTCGGAATAAGTCCAATTATGTCACCGATTCTGCAACATGTAGACAAAAGATATTCATCCTTCAATTCACCCTTTGATAGTCAACGATGCAAAGAGATGTATACTTTTACCTGCATTATATTTTTAAAGCTTTGGTTATCCACAATTTAAAACCTGAGTTCTGCGTACAAATATAATTCGTTATATACACATGTATACATTGCTGATGTATTGCTACTACTTACTTTCTGATTACGTTTTGTAATGCTTCTGATGCATGATTAATATATTCAATAGTAAGTCTTGATCGATCTCCACTGTATAATATTTGTAAAAGATTAATAAGTTCACCTTTGGATACATTATGAATTTCAATGATATCACACTATAGAGATAACAGAGAGACAAAAAAAAGAGTCGACAACTCTAAATTAAATTAAAATCATAAACCTGATAAAGTATACAAATTATTTTTTTAATGGCCCTCAAATGCCCTGCTACGGCCGAGAGTGGGGAGAGTCACCTCTCCCTTTCCAAATGCTCTCACATGGTCACGTGTATATAGCCTACGCCAGGGAAGTCCTACTCACTACATTCCCGCACCACGGGCGTTGTTTACGAAATTGAGAGGGCGAAAAGCGAATGTCCGGCGCTTTAATCGGGTTCGTGGACATGGAGAGTCCACCTAGGGAAGTTGGAGAACCCTGATTCAAAACTAATGGTGCACATGGGCTTCAGTATCCTGACGGAACAAATGGCGTATAAACCAGTCGTTAGTCACCGGCTACCATGGGACTGCATCTCCTTACGATGCTCCACTGCCTTGTGGTTCAGACCTTTAGGTTGAAGGCTTCAGTTGTGGCCCCCTAGGAAAATCACCTAATTCGGTCTGGGCACCCAGGCAGTATCACAGTCATCACACAAATCAAATGAGATTTGTGTGGCGCATATGTATCTGGTGCCCTCTTGTATCAGCATTTATGTGTTCAAATAAATAAATAAAATAAATTGTTTAATGACTAATCAAATCATTTAATTCAATGGAATGATTCCATAATGATATATGAAGCTCTTCCAAGTTCATTTCATCGGTTAGGTAGGCTGGATAGAATCATTAACAAATATATCACTGGAGATATTTTATAACCAACGGAATATTAAATTTAAGAGTCCTTTTCTTTGTAATATTCTCTAAGTTTTAATAATTCATAAACTGATATTGGCAAGACTATAATTTATGGAAGAACCAATCAGATTTATGATAACATGTCTTGGATTTCGGCACGGAATTTATTTACTCATTTGGCTCAATAGAGTCTTGGCATTATAACTGATGTCAGTTCGTGATGAAAACCTTAAATCTAATTCCTAAACCTAACCATCAACTATAAATCATAATCATTATTCTTCAAACTGCTTTATAACACTCACTTAGCCCTAGCTCTCAAGGTCTGTTTAGCGTCACTCAAAGGTCGTCCATAAATTATAGTCCCACCATTGATATCAGTCATTGATGAAAATAATCTTCAAAGACATTTAATCCTTAGTATAACATACAAACAAAACTGCTATGTGGATAAACAATCATTGATATCTCTTCAATAGATGAAATCTAAATTAATCAGATGACAGATAGAAAAGATGGTAACCAGTAAGTTTATAACATGAAGTCCACTTTCAACGTAATGAATCAATCAAATCTATAAGGTGAATAGTTTTAACCCTAACCAAGATAATACATCATCTTTTAATAAGTAAAAGTAATCAGAGGTTTCTTTTTTCTGAGATGCGTCTGGATAATGATCGCTTTGTGAGGCCTATGTAACTTGCCCCACATGAGCAAGTAAATTTATAGATACATATTGATGTAGTCCAAAGCGGAAGTTTATCCCTAACACCTCCCAGAATGGTAGGTCGGCTAGAGAAAACAATTCGAAGTTTGGTTGTCTGCGTAGAACGTTTTATTCAATGATTTCGAAATTCTTTTATTTAAGACGTCAGCAACCGTGTCTCCTTTAAATTCCATATTCATAAATAAGGTTTCCTTCTGTACTGTCCATGCTTTGTCATGATGAAGTCTAGGTGTTAAGTTGCTATCGACGAATCTAGGTGAATAACCATTTCGAATGAGAGTCTGTCGAAGTTGAAATAGTTCCCCATCTGTTGTGTCATTGGTACAGATTCTCTTGATCCTAGAAGATAAAGAGTGAATTCACTTCCTTTTTCTACTCAATGGGACCCAACTATGGAAATTTGTGTATTGTCCATTCCAGGTAGGTTTTCTAAATATAGACCTTTGTAAAAAAAAAACCATCCGGTATTTTTTTCAATCGGACATCAAGAAAATGAAATTCATGATTTGCCTCCGCTTCTAAAGTAAATTGAATTGATGGGTGACAATTATTGAAACTATTCAAAATTCCATTAAGGTCTATGTCTTCTTCACAGATAATCAAAGTATCATCCATATATCTCTTATATAAATGAACTCTTTCAATTATTGGTCGATGTATCGAATATGGAATTTAAAGGAGACAAAGCTGCTGGGATCTTAAATAAACGGATTTCAAAATCGTTAAATGAACTAATTTGAATTTATTGAATTTAAAGAATATCCAGAAGTATATCATTCAGGTTAAGTTACAGGCAACAAACAAATCTACATAATCGCAATTTATCAATCTATGGTAAAAATGATCAACCAATCATATGATCTAAAGTTAGCTGAACAAAATAAGTCTACCGTGATATAAGAATCTGTGAGGATAATCATTTGAAAATAAGGCCAATAGGGTAGAAGTGTACTTTAGAGACGAGCTTAAAACTGCCGTGACAAGTTTTCAGCCAGTTTTAGCCAATCAGAAAAATTTTTATAAATAGATAGGTCCTGGGTTCGAATCCCGCAAGGTGGGATCGTGAATGCACTGCTGAAGAGTCCTACAATAGGACTAAACGGCCATCTAGTGCTTCCAGATTTTCCATGGTGGTCTAGCTTCAATTGACTCATGATTTCAACTATTGAGATAGTCTATAGTAAATAAAACGATAATATTAGAAAGTGTGGACCGATTTTACGCAATTAATATAAGTTGATTGATATCTCCTCTAGGCTTCTCAGACTTCATATTTTAAAAAAGAAACAGTTTATAAACTCGTTCAAATGAATAATGATTGTACAGACCTTCAAACTCTTGAAGGGACTCAAACAGATTGTTAAGGATCCCTATATTGTTCTTAGTTACAGTTGGGGTTTTTATCATGAACCTATATAAGCTATAAGATAAAAATACTTTACAGTGATATGGATGAATGAATTTCATCAAAAATTATAAGAGGCTATATCTGATTAATTCATCCATAAAATGTAGTGCCATGAGGGTGTTTTGTTTCAGAATTAACAGGTTAGGGTTAGAATCTAGCGATAGTGTCAGTTTGCCTGTTATATACAGTTTAAAGAGAAAAAATGAAACATTTGAGGACAGCGAAGAAAAAAACAATTTTTCATAATCATTTTAAGCGTTGTGAGCAATGTACAAAGGAAATTTTATTGTTCCTCATAAATATGATTTGAATTTTGCTTAAAAACCTGAAAATTACATTCTCTAATCTAATTGCCTCCATCTCTAAAATATACTTTTACAGGTATCAGAACGAACTGATTAGTGGATGGAACAAAACTCTCAATTCTACTTGAAACAGGAGATGATGGTGATGTTATTGTCATTCAATGACGATGAAAGCTTCACAGTGAAATCATTCAACTCAAAAACAATTTGTATGGATATTAACTAATAAAACAATGATAATGATCACAAAATCAGTTTTAAGCATCGAATAATAGTAATAAAAATACCGACTAATCAATAAACAATCTAACTGAACATGCATTAATAGTACTTACTCACTTATGCCTGTTACCCCCTCATGGAGGAGCATAGGCCAAACCACCCACCAGCATCCTTCATTAATACTAACCTACTTGTAATTAATATGGTGTGAGTGAAAGAAAACAAACAATAATTACATCATAAATCATACCTGTGAATAATCAATATTTAAATTCCAAGCTGCAAATATAAATTTATGCGCTGGAATTATATCACCTTCATCCAATATTAAACATAAATCTGAGCATAAATTATTCCCAATCATTGATAGTAATGGATTAGAATGAATCTAAAATGAAATCAATAATCATAAATCAGGTAGCATTATAGAGGTGTTTCATATAAATATGCAATTGATTCTTCAATAGTAGGCATTTATAACCTAACCAATGAACAAAACCAGGAGTTTCAGGTTTGACAATTAAATCAATGTCAACAGTTGAGATCATGAGTCAATTGAAGCTAGTTGGTTAAACTCCTAGCGCGAGACTGACAGGTCCTGGGTCCGAATCCCGCGAGACGAGGTCCTGGATGCGCACTGCTGAAGAGTCCCACAATAGGACGAAACGGCCGTTCAGTGCTTCCAGGTTTTCCATGGTGGTCTAGCTTCAATTGCCTCATGATCTCAACTGTTGAAATTACCACAAAACCCCTTCTGATACAAATTAAATCAATGGTACGAAGTTCATGGCCATTACCACTGGTTATGGATTAGTATTGTTGAGAATTCCCTTATCAGACTAAACCACATATCCAATAACTCCTGGCTTTCAATAATTATCTTACCAAAGTTAATCTGTCATGTGAAGTTTCAGATATGTGTTGATTTAATTTATACTACTTAAAATATTTAATTAGTATGAAACGATATGATATTAATATATGAAATAAGGTATCTTAATCAGGTGATAACGTCTCTAACATCAATAGAAAAGGATATCTCGAAACATTTCTCTAGATTTCGCTTGCGTTGAATCAACACACAAAAGCTTAGAATAAACATCTTAAATATAGTGTTGCATAATTGACTACAATCACAGCATGACTGCCACTGACTTTTATTCCGAACTATGTCTAATAGTGTTTCAAACCATTGCGCTGTAGTACTATCTCAGTGGAGGTGTGAAGGACCGATGGATACCACGGTGAGTTGGACAAAAAATGCAAGACGTGGAATTCCCTAGAACAAGATTGTACATGTCGAAGCCACTGAAGTCGGCATTTCAAAATTGTGATACCAATTAAATTATCGCCACTATGTCTTAACACACTGCTGAACCTCCAAAATATTTACATAGCATAACCACTGTATGTCGTCGGTGATTGAATAAAGAGAGTTGCCGGATATCCTTAGCTCAGAGAGAACAGGTTTCATGAGCATAGAGCAAAACTGCTCTGACCTTCGTGTTATTAATCCAACCTTTCATAATCAGATTGGTATAAGCTTTTCTGACTTTCACTAAACATAGATTGACCTCTTCAGTTACACCACCTCCAAGATATACGAACTTCCCAACTACTAGTAAATGCTCACTATCAATATTAAGAGCAGGAACAAACTTCTCACAGCCTTCTAGGTGCATTTTGTACTTAGAAGATGCAGAGCACATGGCATACGGACACTGATTGCCAACTAATTAATTGCATTTTGCATAACTTCAGGATCACCACAAATTAACAGAATACTATTGACAGAACAAAGTATGAATAGCATTTTTCTAGGCAACAGATCTACACCACTATCACTTACTTCCATCAAAGATGTTTCCAGAACGTCATCAATGGTAAATTTAGTAAGGGGAGGTGAGAATGGTGAACTCTGCCAAATCACACTACTGAAATGGAATAGTCTCGTATTTAATAGTCCATATCATTGGTTTTTACACTGGGCTCACTGTGTGTGACTGCTTGCAACTGTATTGAATAAAGTATTATCTAGAGTTAATCTGGTTCTCTATTTTGGGTCGTGAATCCTAATTCTGATAAAACTTGATTCGTCTTATTAATGTATTAACGAATTATCGTAATGTACGTGAGAGTGAGAAAAGATACTTTAAACATCCGTTATATCATATACCGTTTGTACCCTAAGGATCCTGGAGTCTATGTGTACAAATGGTTTGGAAACAGTGTTTTCTAATTCCCTTAGGTGGATCTTCTGTACCGACCAACAGGTTATTTGCTTAAGAATAGAAATTCAAACAATATATTATTAAAATAGTATCGAAAAACAACTTACATTAGTCATATATGATGAAGATTTGGAAAGGGTATTAGAGAACATTGGTGATAACTCTGAAGTGTCACACTTATCTTCAAGTTTAATAGATTGTTTGGGAGATAATTGTTCACATTCCTAATTAAATTAAATAAGGACATTCAATGTGGAAAAAAAATTTCACTCTTAAAGTAAGTAATTTCGTAAAAATTTCTCATTTTTACACTTTGCTTCAATTCACTTTTAGAAAAGATAACAGTGAAATTCAAGATAAGAGTTTCATCCGGTTTTTGACGCATCAGCTGGATGTTGATATCCACAATTATATTCGAATCAAGGAGTCAGATGTTCGGATAACATGCACTTTTACAGTGTACTGTATAATTAAATAGAATGGAATATCAATACACGTGGTTTATAGATTGCTATTTCGCTAAACAACAAATATGGTATTTTAAGCTTCAAATTACTAATTGAATTCAGTTAGACAACCATGAAGAACCAAGAAGTATTGGACAGTTGTTTCATTCTAGCAAAGAACTTCCCTCAGCAATGAGAACTCATGATACCGTCAGGGATTCAACCCAAAAATTTCCAGGCCTTTAAGCGAACGTTCAACCTTCAAACAAGCTGGTTGGCCAATATTTTCAATATTATGTGGTTATCATCGATTGCTATTGAGTAATTTGTATTCATTGTGAAAGTTGGATTCGAGATCGTTAAGTTTTTTTTATTAGAAAAATCAGATAGAAATTAGTTTCAGAGCTATTTTAATTTTAAAATTATGAAACAAATTGTGAATCTTGATAAATTATAGAGAGTCAATGTAAACAACTTTGTACGTATTGAAGTTTTATACCACCTTTAAAAATATAGTATCCCTAATTGAACGCAAAATACTTCGGATCCATTGACCAGACACTATCAGCAACAACATATTGTGGGAGAGAACAAACCAGATTCCAACGAAGGAACAAATCAGGAAGAAGAAGAATAGGATACACATTGAGGAAAGCACCCATCTGTGTCACAAGACAAGCTCTCACATGGAATCCTCAAGGTCAAAGGAGAAGAGGAAGACCAAAGAGCATATTACGCCGAGAAATGGAGACAGACATGAGAAAAATGAACAAAAATAGGATAGAACTAGAAAGAAAGGCCCAGGACAGAGTGGGTTGGAGAATGCTGGTCACCATCCTATGCTCCATTGGAAGTAACAAGCGTAGGTAAGTAAGTAATTGAACTCATCTGTGTTTATTCGTTAATAATTTGAATTAAAATTTCTAATTTTTGATATTTATTTTATTTATTTATTTCAACACATAGATATTGGTACAAGGAGGCACCAAATACATATGCGCCACACAAATCTCATCCGATATGTGTGAGGGCTGTGATACTGCCCGGGTGCCCAAACCGAAGCAGGTGGTTTTCTTGGGGGGCCACACCCCGAGCCTTCGACCCAAAGGTCTGATCCACAAGGCAGTGGAGCATCGTAAGGAGATGCAGTCCCATGGAAGCCGGTGACCAACAATTGGTTCATTCGCCATTTGTTCCCGCAGGATACTGGAGCCCATGTGCACCATTGGTTTGGAATCCGGTTAAAGCGCCGGACATTCGCTTTTCGTCCTTTCATTTTCGTAAACAACACCCCCGCCACGAGAAGGCAGTGAGTAGGACTTCCCTGGCAGAGGCTATATACGCGTGGCCGTGTGAGAGTATTTCGAGAGGGAGAGCGGACTCTCCCCACTCTCGGCCGTACCAGGGCATTTGGGGGCAATTTTTGATATCGTTCAAGGTTACTCTTATAATGTTTATATTTACGAATAAAGTAGGAAATTCGTTTATAATAAACACTTAAACAACATTCCAAAAACATAAACACATAAAGATAATAATTAAACATAATTTCAATTATTTCCTCACCTTTTTTAAAACATTATCGCAACAATAATCACTATGATTCTCTTTATATTCATTCATGACTGTTACATTAGATTCATATTTCATATTTTTATGAATTGAAACACGACCAGGTATTTGTGACATTGAAATAATATTGGAATTTAAAGGATTTAATGTAGGACTTAAGGGTGGAATTAAATTATTGACATAGTATATTTGTGTAATATTATCTAGAAGATTGAAAATAATAATAATTGTAATAATGTTGCTACAGAAAAAATATTGAAAACGTAGTAACTCACAAAATTATCTTATGGATTGCTATTACATATAACCGGATCTCCATATCTTTGTATTCTCCATATTATGATCTTTCAATAGGCTTATTTAAATCATGCTATATGTCTTATGATCGTTAAATTATAGTTGAATAATAATTCACCTTTTTCCTACATTCTCATCCACCTCTGATCTAGTTATACCTATATTGTAATTTCGTGTTCATTTTGATGTGTATGGTAAGGAAATTGATCTATATTATTATTTGAGTTGATTCCCATAAAATATACTTCTTGCTATAATTTTATTATCGGACCGAAGATCGAGTTAGAAGAGTATATGTTCCAAATTAATTTGAGCTCAGATTTATCTGGATTCAGATTCAAAGTTAACTTTGCCAGTTGGAGCATATAATTCATCAAAGCTTAAGATACTAGTGTTGTGAGTTTATGTCCGGCTTTTTATCACGTGATTTATACACCAATCAAAATACGACTTATACAATCTTAGCACTGTGCCAAAACTAATGACGTTCGACCGGTATAAGCAGCCTAGCATCTTTATTGGTCCTATGTCCGCCTAGCCCGTCCACTTGAGTCCAGAACACCAATACGAGCTTCCACTATGCGAATCCAATCGAATCACTTATTTCAGACATACTGGGTTTATATATCACACAAACAGATCGCAACGCACCATAAAATAGGAAATAACGTTTGTGCACAATAAAGCCAAAAAGTGACTGTGAACGTGGGAGGCCGTAGTCAATAAACTGAACATAGCTTAAGAACCGTAAATCGTACAATAATAAATTATAAGTCAAAATAAAGCTTATAATAAGAGAAATATAAATATACATAATCTAATTATTGAATAGTTATACCCTAAGAATGTATAGATAATATTAGTCAATTAGTATGTTTCAGACGTTACCCGCAATGTAATCGTCACTAGGATATAACAACTTAGTGATAGCTGAAAATAGTACAAGTGGAATAGACAATTCTCTGTAGATATCGACTAACCCATAGTTGAAACTAATAATAATCATTTAAAACAACTAGTCTCTTTGATAAATTTCGATAATGCAATGAGAAGACGAAGATTATCAGAACTATGTGATGATATATTAGCGCAATACATTTCGAACAATCTGATTACACATAGTATACTTGTTAAGAACATTTATATATAAAAATAAAAGGTCAACTAGACTGGAAATGGAGGGTAACAGGAGACAAGGATAATAATAAAAGAGTAACAATAATAATGTGAACACAATTTGAAACCTAATCACTCTGGATAATAAGTCAATATTACCATGGTAGGTTTAAGGTAAGAACAAACTGTTTTTGAACACACAAAGGGGGTTTGAATTTTCGTATGACTAAAGCTTCAATAAACCTTATTGTACGCCCTTTTATACTTCTATACAACACCACAAAAATCGAGTTAAGACCAATTTTATGGCCTGTTTAGTAACAGAGGATGATAGATGTTTATCCTCTACTCTTATTGGGTCACTTGATTGTATTTGTCTCTGCAACCATTTTGGTACACGTTCATAATGATAATAATATAAGCAAAGATGGATAGTGGCTAGTAGTGAAATCCAGGATGCGCATTTCGTCCTATTTGGGACTCGTCAGCTGGATGTACCTGCATCTCATAAAACCAAGTGAATTTAATAATAATAATAATAATAATAATAATAATAATAATAATAATAATAATAATAATAATAATAATAATAATAATAATAATAATAATAATAATGTAATAGAATATTTGCGTATGAAAACAATGTGAACCTTAATTACCAATATCATGAAGTTTCGTCGATGCTAAATTCCATAGATTAGACTGGGCAATTAAATTACTATTGTTATCATTATTACCACATACTTTTTCAAGCTTGTTAATTCTTTTAACCTGTTATTATTCAACAAATAAGAATAAAAGAATACAAATAAGTGTGAATATTAACTAAGATAAAATCTAAATAAAATATACCTAGAGAATTATTGAAAGGTAGATTTTTATAGTGATTAATCTATTCGATAAGTTATTCATTAGGTTATAGGTCCGAACTCTGTTCTAACTATATTGGTTTGACCGTTAAACCTCCCACATGTATAAAAGATGTGAAATCTAAAGTAGAGTAGATCAATCTTGTTATAACTTGTGGCCTGTGTGCCCTATTAATCTATACGTAATGATACCGCCAATTAGAGAGCAGTGAATTATCGATCGGACCAATAACGCAGGAAACCCGTGTGAGCAGTCTAGAGTCCTTATTGACCGTGCTTCCTGCCTATCCCAGTCAGTTAAGTCCAGAACACCAATCTCAGCCTCTACGATATGAATCATTTGTGTCAAGCATACTAAGGTTATGTTGTAACGGGTGACTGCAGGTTTAATGTGCAGCGTTTTTATCGATCGATTCAGTGACACGTAAACACGTAATGGACGACCTAGAGTCCCGATTGGCCCTGCTTCGCTATCTAGCCCAGCCAGTTGAGTCCAGAACGCAAGTCACAGCCTCTGAGATATGAATCATTATATTTCAAACACACTCTGTTTATATATTAACCAAGCAGACCACATCGTACCATAAAAATAGAAAACAACATTTACACAATATTAAGCAAGTGAAGTAAATATCGACCAATAGGGAATGTACATTTAGCGTCCAAGGACAACATTAGACTTAACACGATAATTATTGGTATATTTTTCTGCACATCCTAACAGTTTATATACCAACCAGACAGACCACATTGTACCAATAGAATAGGAAACAACATTTATACAAGATTTGTCCAAATGTGGCTGTGAATGTAGTAGGCAGTGATTAATAAACTGAACATAACTTAAGAACGGTAAATCGTATAATAATAGTTCATAAGTCAAAATTAAGCTCATAATAAGAGGGACATGAATATGAATAGCTTAATTATTTAACAATTATACGATAAAAATGTACGTATAGTATTGATTCATAAATGGATCCCAAAAGTTACCATTCATTATGCTTATCGGGAAATAACAAATCTGTATTTGGTAAATTAATTAATTTATGTAAATATTGATTTTAGGATGAAACTAAACAACATAGAATTTGAATAACTTCTAAAGTGACATTGTAAACTTTAAGATATATGTTATCCCATGAACAAATAGATAGGTTGAAGTAAGAGTTTATTACAAGTATAGACAGTTTATGAAACTATTCACTTTTCAGTTTACAACACGGACTAACCTTCGCTAGATAGACATTAGATACAAGGAAGCGTTGAAGAGATATTACGTTCTAGTACATGGATTTTAGAATTACCCATCCACAAATTCAAAGATCTTCAGATCTTGTGAGCAGCACTTAATCTACAGACAGGTGAGTTGACATCCAATGGTTTACGTTCCCGACTCTACCCAATTCGTGATATTGTACAATTATCACTCATTATTATCAGTGATATCTTTGTTATAACCAACAAGCCTAAATTTCATAAGTATTATGAAGGTTAAGCATTTATCAGTATATGTGGAGGATATTCATTTTGTTTGAAATAAGATTAGTTTTCTGTCAAACTCTTTAATTTTAAGTGAACTACACAAGTGATGTTTCCATTTACCTATTAATCAGTGATACGGTCTTTCTTCTTTATTTCTTTACAATAGTATCATCCCACCTTTATTTGGTGAATTGTTCCGGTCCCTTTTTTTGAAACGCTTAGAGGGCAGTGGATTATCGATCGGACCAATAACGCATAAAACCCGTGTGAGCAGTCCCGAGTCCTTATTGGCCCTGCTTCCTGCCCATATATATATATATATATATATATATATATATATATATATATATATATTACAAGCTTTCATCAATTCCAGACAGTTAGATTAGTTAGGATCAAGTGAATTACCTCAAGAAGAATTGATTCCAACTTTTCAGCGAATATTCTCTCTCGTTTTTCACTCGATAAAAGTAGATGAGATGGTGAATCTAAATCGATGGGATCAATTTTTTGAGCTAAAATCGCTTCAGATTTCCGTTGCTTCATTTCTTCATCTAAAGATAAAGATAATGCACAAGCCGTGTGTAAATCTTCATTATCGTGCCTAAAAAATACAATGAGAGTTATGAACTACTTACAAAGTACTTAGTAGAATGATTTATTTGAGAACATTTTAGTAAACCCATCCAGTCTCATAAGTAAGATATATACAAGAAGTGATGTGTTATGCAGGTATTTATGATAAAAATCGATTATCTTGTCGTTACAGAATATTACTAATATCTCAATATCAATCAAAGGATGAATATACTGTAAAGAAGTTTAATCTGCATTACATTATAGCTGTTGAACATAGACTATAAAAGAACAAAACATTAACACCGTTGAATGCTAGCTCAGTGGTCTAAATGTTAAGCGTTCAAGCGCGAGACTGGTAGGTCCTGGGTTCGAATCTTGCGAGGCGGGATCGTGGATGCGCACTGCTGAGGAGTTTCAAATAGGATGAAACGGCCATCCAGTGCTTCCGGGTTTTCCATAGTGGTCTAAATTCAATTGACTCATGAAACTCTCAGATACACTCTACCTTAAACTTTATTACTACCTATCACAAGAGTAAGGTGGATAAATGCTAGAGGTGGACAGACCAAGATATCCCACTGATTCATGAAGTTATTGACTGCTGAACTGAGCTGTGTTAAGAGACGTATCTTTTCATTTGTTAGTCTTTAAGATAATCATAATCTACACTTGGGATATTTAGATGATGACTCGAAAGCATCAGGACTGAAACAAATATCTTAATTATTTGAGTTAATCTATATCGTGAATTTTAACATTATTCTATACTTTTAACTTGTTACTCTTAAAACTAGATTCTCCGTTTTCACTTCTCTATTATCACTGATATTGTAGTTATAACTTGTATGTTCCCCATATTTTTTTTCATTTCTTCCCAATGTGATGGTATGAAACATAAAGATTTGGTTCAGTTAAAAATTTATGTCACATTCTACGCTACCAATGAGTAAGTGTTTAACTGAGTGACTGAACAAACAACGATAGATCAGCTGTTATGGTTTTAAATTTAGGCTGCAAATTCGGATCGCTTTAAAATTGAATCCTAAACACCACTGTAGACTGATAACGTAGAGAATTCAGCTAACGTCAAACTATGTTTACAGCTGTCTATGACAGTAATATATCAAAAAATAAAATTCTTCAAGTGAATCAAGAGTTTGAGTAGGAACTGTGAACTAAAAGGATATAAAATGCTCACGACAACCGTCAACCTATTTTTTCTGATGAAAAAACGTATGCGGTTTCGATTGCCTCTTGATTCCTTACCGACTATATATAACATCCAGAATATCAATGTGTAATGATGTTATTTGTCATTTATTGTATAAATTATTTTGACAACACATTTTGCAAAAACATTAAGAGGATGTTAAGAAGAAAAATAGTTTGTGGTACTGTTAATGAATAACATCTTTAAAATACAACAATTTACCTGATGAAACGATGGTCACGACATGATAATGACATGAGACTAAATAAATCCATGTTTAACTTCGAGGCACATCGTTTTAAATGTGTTCGAGATGTCTAGAAATGAGTAACAAGAAAGGTAGTTTGATTACTTCCAATAATATACATATATTTGATCACTTACATCAGTATGGATACACAAATGTGCAAACAAAGCCCGATATAAGGGATCACGATGACTACAATCCTTAGGAACAGTAATAATACTGCAAACAATACTTTTTTTAACATCAATGACAAAATTGAACTTTATAGTTTTAAATAAATTGAATGTTGGGTTAATCATTAGAAAAATAATCCATTTTTCATATCCCAATGAGTAGGAAAATCGTGTTTTTGACGTTTCTTGACCTAATGTGAACCACTTCTTCAGAGTAAATGAATAAAAATAAATAATACAATTTGAACTTGTGTTAATTTAATTCAGTTATTTGCTTGCTCTGAAGAAGTGGTTTACATTAAGTTACGAAACGTCAGAAATACAATTTTTCTACTCATTGGGATATCTCAATAGTTGAGATCATGAGTAAATTGAAGCTAGATCACCATGGAAAACCTGGAAGCACTGAACAGTCATTTTGTTCTATTGAGGGACTCTTCAGCTGTGCGAATCCACGATCCCGCCTCGCGAGATTAGAACCCAGTAACTATCGGTCTCGCGCGCGAGCGCCTAACCTTTAAACCACTGAGTTGGCATCCAACGGTGTTAATGTCTAACTTCAACTAATCCACGAAATCGCGCGACACATTCATCATTGTCATCAGTGAGTTACTATCTCACAACTGACCCGGCCACCTGGTCACTACTTCTCACTAGAACTCCACGAAATACCTCTTGAAGCCAGTCAGTAATGGGCATACGTTGATTAGTAGGACGAAACGGCCATCCAGTGCTTCCAGGTTTTCCATGGTGGTCTAGCTTCAATCGACTCATGATCTCAACTATTGAAATTACTACAATCTCCACGAAACTCCCTCTGATACTAATCATTAGAATATGAAAAAATAAATTAGACCCATTAATAATTTTTTTAGTTTAAAAAAAGAGAATGAAACTTACTCGACCAGCAATCTGTTTGTGACATGCAGGACAACGATGACAATACATGATCTATAGTTAAATTAGTATCATATAAATTGAAAAGAAAGAATCCAGGACAAACTTACAAATGTTTCACAACAAGTATTTTTATGCAGTTGTTTACGTTCTGTATTCCATGTTTCCATATTGATGCTACACATAGGACATTTATCATCAATAAGATTGTTTGAAGAGTGCATTTTGTCTAGGATAGAAAATTTCAAGTCAAATGATAATTATCGGTATATTAAAAAACGAAGGATTCTAAAAGATAATATAAGCTAACCTTCAGTCAGTTAGTAACAACGTAACACGTGTCCCAGCCATCTCAACTGATGAAGTTTCATCAGTTCATCAATTGATTTACCATCCTTAACTAGTACCCGTTTCCTAACAATTGCGTTACTTACTCGATGGCCCCAGGATATACGAGCAACGTTTCAAAGACACCTATGATAGAACACTAGTAGCCTACAAATATCCTCTACTCTTACCAGCCATGTCCCACTCCCATAAAGTAGGACGAAACGAACTGCTGCACAGTAAACACGTCCTTTGTTTGGTAGACGGATATCTCGTCTACGTCATAAATGACGCAAGTTGGCAAAAGCTAGTCGAGCCTTCTGTATGCGTGCTGAAATTTCGTCACACACCAGATCACAAGGGCTGATGAGACTTCCCAGACGAGTGAAAGCTAACCTTACTTTCACTGATTTCTAGTGTCTACAATGATGTTTGAAAAGTATGAAAATAATGTACTGAGAACGACTTACAAAAATGCCATGTTGAACCACATTTAAGCGCAACTCTCCCTCGAGCTCGGTGGTTACCCTTATAGGTCAATATGTCGACTAGCAACCAAAAATCGTTTTTAGATACTTTTGAAAAACTTCTCACGTAATATGAACAACTGATAAGCGTCCACACCTTTAACACCACTCAAAATCATTCCGACACTTAGTTTGCTATGGTAACTAACTTGTTAGATAACATAGATTTAAGTCTATTTATTTAAGGTGCATGTTGGTAGGAGGGTGATATTAAGATAAACAAACATAAATGTTGATGCTCAGTGTTGCAAGATGATGTTCCATTATACAAACTTCCTATTCATGCATAATGAAACATTAAACAGACTTGATTCAGTTTGCTTTAGCTGCTTTACAAAAAAAATCCTCCTATAAAGTACCCTGACATTTACAACCAAGTTGCTTTTATTTGATTGGGAGAAAACACTCCTCAATTAAAATTTATGAAATCATTACTTTCAGATGTAATTGTTGACATTAAAACTGAGCTACATGGATCGTGATTGATTTTATGTAGATTAACATATTAATATTCTTAATAGGTAAAGAACACAGATCTGATCTGATGCAACTCGATAACCAAATACATGAATATGAACTGAGCTCTAAGCTCCATGTTTTACGTGATAGTTAATAAGGTTGTTCAACCTTCCGAACTAAAGCAGATAATAAAGAGTTCGCTACTACAACATAATATCCGGTAAATCAGTCAGCCATACGCAACATAGAACCTGGCACATGTATACATCAGTTTAAGTTTATACATTCCATTAGCACAGAAAGATGAAATTGTCAGGGTAAATCCCGTAGTAGAGGTGATAACAGTATTAGGCATCAAAGACGCGATTCCAGAAAATACCAATTAGTGAAGCGAAAAATCCACAAAGAATTTAGAAACTTAGGATCTAAGAGAAGGAGAATAGTGAATGCACCTCTACCACTTCGAAAGTTTCTGAGTTTTGTCACTCAATGTTCCTAACCATTGGTTACAATAATTACACGGACCCTAACCAGTTGGTCTTTACCTACCTACATAGTTCAGTTCAATGATCAAGCAACATAGCATGGTTAAGAGATAGATTTAACCAAAAAACACTGCCCTGTAAGGCGAATTAGAATGAAGTTTTTGAAGCAAACAAATTATCATACTACTAAATTTTCAACTACAATAAATCTGTAACTAAAATGTTTACTAGTTAAGAAGAGTATCAGGGAATGATGGTAAATCAGTTGATGAGGTTGGGAATGTTCATGGACTGAGATGGTTGGGCCACGTGCTGCGTAAGCCTGAGCACCGATTACCACAACACGCAATGCTGGTTGGTGTTGGAGAGGCAGTTGGAAGAAAGTTAGGAGAAGCCAGAGCAAAACGTGGTGTCAGTCACTAACTTTCAATCCGAGCCATGTTGGTAGCTGCAGACTACTTGGTTGGGGTCCGCGTGACTATCATAACCAATGGTTGGAGACTCTGGATGCAATGGCTCAGAATCAATCACAATGGCATAGGTGTATGCACTCTCTGTCTTCCCTTAAACTATGAGATTAAAATCGCTTCATATCGTTCCATCTACGTACTAATTCTTTATTCCTGTAGTATATCCTTATATGCAATCTTTCTTTTATATATTACCACAACTGAATTAACTACTATGAATCCCGTGTTCATCTTGATGTGTTAATGAGGCATAGCAACTTGGATCGATGCACAAATGTGCCCGGTCCTACGTTGTAGCTGACTGATTGACTAGTTAAGCAATTAAACAGGAAGTAATTTATATATGGTAATGTAACTCATTTACTAAGAACAGGTTTTTGAACTTGGCTTCAAGCCATATTATTTGTACGAGGGTTAATAATACGTACTTAGTCGGTCAAACTAAAAGTAGGCTGAGATTCAAACCTATGATTTAAGTATGAATAGAAATAATTTATATGAAAGATTTATTTTGTTTTAAAAATTCTTTCCAATTTAATAGTGATTTCTCTGAATGTAAACATTTTATCATGGTTATTTAAGTTCTCAAAAACACCTAAAAGAAATTATGCCCCTAAACACCCTAGTAAGGTCGAGAGTGGGGAGAGTCACCTCTCCCAATCCAAATGCTCTCACATGGCCATGTGCATACAACCAATGCCAGGAAAGTCCTAATCACTGCCTTCTCGCGGCGTGGGTGTTGCTTACGAAATTGAGAGGACAAAAACCGAATGCCCGATGCTTTAACCGGGTTCGTAGATATGGAGGATTCACCTAGGGGAGTTGGAAAACCCTCATTACAAACCAATGGTGTACATGAGCTCCAGGATCTCAAGGAAACAAATGGGGTATCAACCTATTGTTGGTCACTGGCTACCATGGAACTGCATCTCCTGACGTTGTTCCACTGCCTTGTGGATTAGACCATTAGGTCAAAGGCTTGAGGTGTGACCCCCTAAGAAAACCATCTGCTTCGGTTTGGGTACCCAGGAAATATCATAGCCCTCACACCAATCGAATAATTTATATGGTGCATATCTATAAGATGCAAACTCGTACCAATGTTTATATTTTAATAAAATAGAAAAAGAAATTATGAATAATTCGAATTGACTTTTTTCATAATTTATACCAACTCAGTTAAATGTACAGTAATTAATTTGTTGACTGTAACTCAGATATTTATTTTATGTACTTAATGTTTATTTAACTTGGAAACAAGCGGTATAGTAATTGAGGCATTCAATTTTCAACTAGTAAATTACACATTAGTTATATTTCAACTTAATGTGAATTAATCAAACTAAAAGTAGAACAAATGTTATGTTTAAATTAAGATGGAAAATAATAATTCATCCTAGTATAGAAGGACCATTCAAGTGCTTCCAAGTTTTCCATGGTAATCTAGCTTCAAATGACTTATGAATTCAATTATTGAATTACTACAATCTCCACAAAATCTCTCTCTGATAAAAAATAATTAATGTTTATTAAATCCACTTTTAGAGATATTACATAATAGAAATTGAAAAAAGAAAAACTGGAACTACATAATTCATAGTTATATAATATACCCTTATGGGCCAGGATAATTTTACATTGGTTTTCAAGAGAGCGAGACACCATCCAGACTTTCACGTGAAAACCCAAACAGTATAGCTCAATCCCGTTTAACAGGAGGGCCAGACACCGTATAGGCTTTGACGCTACAATCTGAATAGTACAGATCAATCCTGTGGTGCAACCACACACGTATCAAGCACCCTGGTGGACTATTCGCACCATTCACATACACATCACATGTATAGTTATTCCGATCAATGATCGCGTGAATCAATCATGCACAGCATGAACAGGCCAAAGTTGACCTATTCCGCTTGCACGACAGTCAAACTCACTAATGTTAGCTTTACAATGTTCCAATGAAAATGGCCCTTCAGAACACTGAAAAGCAACCACCAGTATGAATGAAATCGGTTAACCAGCAAATCAATTTTGTGCATGAACAGTCAGCAAAGCAATGAGGAACTATCCACAACATCAATGGCGAACTTCCAGTTACATATGAGACCTTCAGTTCTATATAGCCATATATAGTTTCAGTCTGAATAATACAAATCAATAGACAAGAAAACTCACATTTGTAAAATGATTAAATATTTTGTTATTTAAGTCGAAAACTATCAATCAAAGTTATGATATAAAACTTAACAGTTAAAATCTAATAATTTAATTCTCATAAAAGACCTTTGTATTACTTTTAGTGTTTACTAATGTACTGGTGTGGCAGAAAATGGTGAAAGTTCGCTTTCACTTCCAAAATACTATCAGATTTCGGAGTTCGAATTCTGTACGACAATCATGGTTGATAATTGAAGACTATAGATGACATGGTTCAAAAATGGTTGAATTAGTGTAGATATGATCATTCTTTATGACAGGATTTCCACTATGGGTGAGGTGCTGTATGGGTTGAAAAGTAAAAAAAAAACACAAAATTTGAATAAAGTGGAATAGACAAGTGACTCGATGTAAAATAAAAATCAATGTTACCAAATCATTGTGAATACGATTTGCGAGAATGCTAATTGGAGCGAGAATATTTTCTCAGTTGTAACCATCATTAAGTTTGTGGGTGAGGTAGGATATTTTTCGGGTGCTCACAATGAAACAGGTGGTTCTCTTAGGGAGCCACTCCCTAAACCTTGGATCTGAAGGTTTAATCCGCAAGTCAGTGGAACAACGTTAGGTGGGATTCTATGGTAGCCGGTGATCGGAAACAGGTTCATAGACTATTTGTATCCTTAAAACCCTGGAGCCTATGTGCACAGTTGATTAGTGACCAGGATTTTCCAACTCCGTTGGATGGATCCTCAGTACCCACTTACCCGGTTGAGTTAACTACTAGAAGTTTCTTAAAAACTAGAGTGGAAATTACTAGCACCAGTTGCAGTAGGTTTCATCGCAAGTGTAATTGAATTTTGAATGAAAAGTATCTAAATCCTTAAGGGTTAATGATGATGATTATTTTATTTATTTCAACACATAAATATTGGTACAAGAGGGCACCAAATACATATGCACCACACAATTATGATGAACTGTCTATTTTTAATGATAATGGACAAGTATCACGAAAATAGGGACTGGCACAGATATCTGTTGGCCTAAGTTCCCATACCTGATTGGCACGACAAGATGAGAATAACAAAAACGATCAAAATACTGTAGCAGTGATAATGGTAATAAAGACTAAATATTAGGAACATGGTTTGGAAAGACAGAATGAAAAAGTATGTATGGATACTGTAATTCAACTTATTTTATTTGAACACATAGACATTGGTACAAGGGGGCATCGAATACATATGTGCCACACAATAACAATGAGACCAGTGGCAGTTATCATTGATTTGTGTGAGGTATATGATACTGTGCGGGTACCCAAACCGAAGCAGGTGGTCTTCTTAAGGGGCCACATCCCGAACCTGAAGGTTTAATTCACAAGGAAATGGGGCAACTTTAGAAGATGCAGTTCCAAGGTAACCAGTGACCAACAATAGGTTGATACCCCATTTGTTTCCTTGGGATCCTGGAGCCCATGTACACCATTGGTTTGGAATGAGGGTTTTCCAACTCCCCTAGGTGAATCCTCCATATCCACGGACCCGGTTAAAGCGCCGGACATTCGCTTTTGGTTCTCTCAACTTCGTAAACAACGCCCCCCGCCACAAGTAGGCAGTAAGACTTACTTGTCAGTGGCTGTATACGCGTAACCATGTGAGAACATTTAGAGCTGACTCTTCCCACTCTCGGCCGTACCAGGGCATTCGAGGTTACTGGAATTCAGGATCGATCGATACAGAGTGAATGCATATTCGCTATTGTGAACAACGAGCTATATTATGATGCGTGAGTTTAGTGGTTGAAGCACTTCTAATCACAGATTTGGGGATTTCTTGATTAACTAATCCGTTTGGCAAAGAACAGATGACTTGCAATCTACATCATCTCACAAAACATCGACAAAGAAAGACATAACTAACAAGAAGCATACTAAAATGGTTGACAATACTAATATTTATGACTGTTAAAGTGATTAGAAATGAAGAATATGGATCGAAAGGAATGGATGTTCTTTTATAAATTTCGATAGAACAATGAGAAGATGGAGTTGACCTGAAAAATGCGATGTATTTGCGCCATACATTTCGAACAATCTGACCACATATATACTTGTCAGAGCATTTTATATAAAGACTGAAAAAGGTCAATTAAATTACAGAAGCCAGGACTTCTTTCCAATAAACCCAGAACTAACGACGGAAGCCTACTAAACATAGAGAGAATTAAAATATGAGTCCAACTGGATAAGGAACTTATGAGTAGACCTAGTAATAAATGAAGGATATAATAAAAATCCACTATTTCAGTATGCAATACAACCAAAAAACTAAGGTCCATAAAATCATGAGTATACCAAAAGACACCCAAACAACCAATAAAGGGGATGTAAAGGAGAACAAAGGGGAGAATGCGTTGTAAAATAAAGGGGAAACGCTTCAAAACGTCTGCTTTCTCGCCGTTCCGGGGGAAATAATGCGGATTTTCCCCCTTTTTGGCGCTGTCTGTGTTGCTGAATTGTCTATTTTTCGCTTAAATAAACACCGAACTGCAGTTCGGTTTTTGCGTTAAATCCTCTCTGGCACGATAGCTGATGCCAGTTAGTGATGAAAACTCTCATAAATCATATATATGATAACGAGCACCATATATATGGTGTTCGTTATCCACGATGAAACTATTTGTCTAATATGGTTTTACTAACTCCATCATAAGTCGTCCCATAACCGAAAACAGTTTTATCTTTGGCTAAGAAGTAATTCAAAATTGTCCACACACTTAAGTGTGTGGAAGTAAATTTACTTCCATCAACTCATGGATGGAAATGTTGATTGGTTAAACCAATATTGAAAATATAGTACCAGGCTTGTGAAAGACAGTTTCATAAAATCTGCCTCAATAACCACACATAATTTGAACAGGCTTAACGTCAGAAGTCATTCTGCTAGCAACTAAAACACCCACAATTCTTAGTAACGTTATGACTGTATTGCCGCCAATGCGTAAAGAGTATCTAACCAATTCCCAATATTCAATTAGAAATGTTAATAACAATAATAATAATCAGAGACTAGTAAGGTCATTTACATTCAAGCAGAACAACACTCATCACTGTGCTAAGCACAGTTTCTCAGTTAGACAATTTTGAGTTCACTCGTACTCTTTGTTGACGTCCAACTAGGAAGTCCTTTATTTGCATTAATAAATCCCAGTATTATTTAACTTATACAACAGCCGATTGTGAGGAATTTCGCCAAAAGTATTGCTGAAGTCAATGTACGCCCAATCCATGGGCAACTTTTGATCTTTGAGGGGGCACCGAATATCACGGTTCACTAATAAGTTAGTGAGGCGCGAGGAACCCGTTCTAAAGCCATGCCGTTTTTTAGAAAAAATCCATTTTTTTCGAGATAACTAGACAAATCTTTCCGAATGGTCTCCTCTAAAATGTCAATAACCACGCTGACTAGGCTAACGGGTCTATAGTTCTCAGGTTTATTTCTCGTGCCTGTTTTGAAGATATGACTTATAGCTGCAATTAAACGCAACTCAATTTCGTAAATGTGCCCTTCAGCTTAGCAACCAATCAGAATGAGGCGGGATTTATTATATCCATCAACTTTGTAAGCAATGGCGGTCGACCTTCTCCGTTCTGTGCTTCTTTCAGCTATTTCTTTTGTGTGGCTATGTAATTTAATGTTTTAGTGTGCTAAAATGCAGAAGTTAATGTAATACTCTAAATGTTGGGGCGAAATTCTCTTCTGATTTAGCTTTGTTTTCTGGGTTTTCGCTGCTGCTACTACTCAAGTCAATGTATTTCTCCAGCCAAGCTGGCTAGCCTTATGTTTTGAAATGGTAATCGGTTGTTTTTTGACTTGTTCTTTAGATATCCAATGCCGGAGTTCGTTACTTTAGCTAAAATAATTGTTTCTGCTGCCTGTAACTAACTGTCCGGATGTTCTTTCCTAACCGTCTTTTATGATGTTATCGGCAAAATGAAAGGAAACAATCTCCAATTTTTAATTTTCTCCAGTATTATGGACAACACTATCCCGCCTACGAGTCAAACTAGTACTGAGTGCCCAGCAGTAGTTAATATCAGCACTGTTTTCGAGAGGACCCAGACTTCCGACAATCATAGACGAAGCCACAGATACTATCAATCTATTTCAGAGGGCTTTTTATGAAACATATGCCATATAGCAGTAATAGTGTTTGTACTCATTAGGTCGTGCGTTAAAGCAAGCTTAACATTGAAAAGCCAGAAATATGCTATCAGTGTGTAGTGTATGTTTGCTGTTTTGGCCGTAAAAGGAAGCCGAAGGGTCATGATCAGGGAGTAAAAAGGTAATTAACTGTTACTAAGCTTACTTTTTTATAGATCATATTTCACCACTCGCAAATCTGTGTTTTTTTACGGCATGACATCAACCGGTACCTAATATTTTCACCCTTACGATGAAAAGTACCTGGAAATTTTCACCTTCATGTTCGAATTATTTTTGGACAACTGTCTTCCAGTTTGAGTGCTTCGTATGCCCTGGGAGACTAGATTCCTACATTATTCGTAGTTCCAGTATAACTTTCTCACGCAGTAAGACACTAGTCTTTCTAGATAAGACTGTTAAGCTAATATCCATATTTTCTATTTCAGTTAATCGATGAAGAAACGTACCACGTGCATCTGCTGTATATTGCCATTTTACTCCAATCCTAACTGTCATATTTTTAAAAAAATAAAATTGCTACATGCAGCGAATACAGACTTATTTGTGTTTTGATGGAGATAGGGGGGTTCATGGGATTTTTAGCAGGACCGTAGTAATATTCTCACTAAAGAGCTAAGCGAGTGCGTAGACCAATGCAAGGTAACACACAGGGTGCCTTTGAGTTACTCGTGTTCCATTAGTGTGGGTAGAGGCATTACTTGCTTATCATATAACATTTGAATAAGAAGCTATGAGATTAGACACGGGGACGGTTAGGACGTGTAACGGGTGTCCGTCCATCAGCTGCCGTGACAACTCATGGTGGTTAGAATGAGTTGTGAGAGGACCCGAGCCTGTAGGTTTCCCAAGGAAATGACGAAGATATGTACCAAATCACCTTATGAAGAGCGCCTCCAATCACTTAACCTTCACCCATTAGAGTATAGATGTCTTAGAGGTGACCTATTGGCTTACAATATCCTTAACACTTCTGGACATCCTCTTCAACACCTACTTAATCTTAGTCTCAATACAAACCTAAGGGGTGACACCTAGAAACTGGAGACACAACGGACTGTAGACACTACTTCTATTCCTTAGGAGTTGTCAAGTGCTGGAATTCGCTGCCCACCGAGCTAGTCCAAGCGACTTCCCAGTAGTCCTTTAAGAGGCAACTGGATCTGTTCTTCAGGATAGAATCATACTATGACTTACCAGTTTCTTTTTTCTCTTTTATTTTTAATATACCTAGGTTTTGGTGATCCCCTGCTACTAGACACGGAAGCCTGTTGAGCGAAAGCTTCTATTCAGTCCACAACAATTTGAACACATGAACTAGGTGCTGGGAGTCTCGCTTATCAAAAGTTTCTTGCAAAGATTAAGTAGATAAAACAAAGTAGCATTAGATTCCAAAATTTATTCAAGAACTTTCATTAAGAATCGAATATCAAACAAAGGTTTAAATCAAGTTCCCGTTTGAAATTTGTATTGGTAATGTTGAGCCGCAGTTTTTGTTGTTTTTCTCCTGACGAAAGAGTAAAAGAAGTCAAAAAATACTGGAAGTGTTCGTGAGACTTAAATGGACGTCCAGCATCCTTTTTATAATCTGCTGTTAGTTGGGTCTTTCGCAAACATTTCCATCGGGCCATAGTTCTAAGGGCGAAACAGTTTTTAGGATCTGTGAAGGCTCACTCTTGTTGCATTCTAAACGAAAAAATAGTGATGAATTTATTCAGAAATTTGGAATAGATAAATAACCAAATTACATGTTTTTTAGCAAAGAATTCATGCAGTTGTGATTTACCTTGAGTTCATGAATATTAGATCAGGTCAGTTTCTATTACTTGTGCAAAGCATAACATGGGCTTAGTACCGTATCGCAATGCTTTTATTATTTTGCTCCCACTAAAAGTCCCAGTTGTCAAAAAGATTCTGAACACTTGTCCACAGGCAGTTGCATTTAATTGAGACACAGAACACCCATCTTCTAAGACTGTATACTGCTGTTTTGCGGGCAACTAAAAGCTCAAACGCTTAACTATCTTGCTACCGATGTTATTGCTGGGGAAACTGTTTAATGACAGTGATCATGAAATATGGTCAGTCATAGATGTACAGTCTAGAAATAAACAACAAACATAATTATCGCTATCTTATAATGTATGACAGCAACAGCATGAAAGGCACATTTTTTCCTATTTTTAATCAGACTGATTTCATTCTGTATAGTCATTAGAAACAGGCAACTCTACTTACTTAACTGATCTGTTTCGTTATAGGCTTCAAGCACTTTACTTAAGAATACCATAATTCTTTCAACTAAATTTAGTTGGTTCAGTTAACTGAACCATGCGACAACCAAGAATACTAAATTAACAAGTGTCATAATTATTGTTCCATTTGCACAGACATGTTGCTAAACGGAGTCAAATGAACATAATTCAGCCGATAGAACCAAAACACGAAATATAGGCCAGTCGAACTTACCTAAGAGAAAACGAAGGATACATATATACTGCTTTCATACTGAAGACAACAGGCAGTTGTTCATAAAAACAAAGTTTACAGTACAACAAACCTTTCTTCAGTAAAATCATGCATTGATAGTCTATCTGGAAAGAATCAACTATGTGAATAAACTCACTATGACTTGTGATATTATCCCAGCGTGCAATGGATCTACTGTGTAACGCAGTCGGACGTGGCGAATAAAAATCAAAAACAGAGCAAAATTAACTACATAATCTAGTTATTTAATTAAAAATACATTATGAAATGTCAAAATCTGTGGTTACTTCAACGCACAAATGACAGTGTGCGATACATTAAGTTTACATGGTTGGGTTGCGGATAAAATCACCCATGACTTACTATAGCATTCTTTTATTCTTTTGGTAATCAACACTGAGTCGCACATGAATTGAAACATATGCTTAAGGGATTCGCGGCGAAAATGTCTAGGTCCTTCAGTAACCTACTATGTATCTCACCATGTCCTATGGATTTGCCTATATCAAGTTCATATAGCAGACTAAATAAATCGAGTTCTTTATTGGTCACAGAGTCCATTGTGCGTATGTGGGGGGTGTATGCAATGGAGGGAGATGCACCTCTAGGTTATATACACTCCCAAAGTAACTTAAGAACACCTGAGCTTTACCATACCATCTCCATATAATGCTGGGATACTTCATCTTTTCTTAGTCCCTTTGTTTATACACGGGTATAGACGTTTAGGGTATTATGTAGGTTCATTAAAAAGTTCTTTATTTGACAACCTTCTAGACTTGCCGAGGATTAAGGCACAAATATTTCAAGCTTCTCGATAGTGAAATTTTGTATCATCAGTACCCAGTAGCCTAAATCTCTCCCATATCCTTCTCATGATACATAGAAGTGTGCGAACCTCTTTTCGGAAACAGTGTGAAGTTTCTCGAACCTCTTAGTGTAATCCAAAGAATGTTTGGTTCGGTGACTTTTATATGCAAATTTCTGAATACACCGCAAGTCGCTTCAATAAAAAACCCCGGTTAAATCGATCATTTTATTGAGGATTCTGAGTGTAAAATATCTTGTATGTTTGCCTTCCAGACGTTTGATCTGAGTTAAGCTGACGCATCCACGTTGTTAACAACTCCACTGTCAATTTTACCTAGGGGTGGCATATAATGGGGGTTTGTGATGGTATACTTATAATAGGTCAGTATGAGACATAGCGAGGATGGTTCGAAGTCCGGATCGTACCTGGTTGCTTTTCTCACATGTAGCACTGGGG